AGAGTTATATACCTAGAGATACTCTGAGAGTTTCAGCTTCTCCTAGACCAGCCGACCAGAAGACTGGAACACCAATAGGACCTTCAGGTTCATACTCACTTGGTGAGAAACCCGTTATTTTATATCAGCAGTCCTCACCAGGTGCTCCTCAACCTAAAGGGATTTTAAAAGTTTTTGCTTCTCCTGGACCAGCTGACTTGAAGACTGAGAAATCAGCATTATCTCCTGCTTTCTACTCACTTGGAGAAAAACCCATTATTTTCTACCAACAGACCCTGCCAGATAGTGAACTAACTAAAGAAAGTGTGAAAATTTCAGTTGTTCCTAAACCAACTGATCAGAAGACTGGGATCTCATCTCCTGTAACCTCTTCTTCCTACTCAGATAGAGAGAAGAATATTATTTCTTACCAGCAGGAGTCGCCAGATAGTCACCTACCTGAAAAGGCTGAGAAAGTTTCACTTGTTTCTGGACAAGTTTATCAAAAGACTGCGATACCAACAGTACCCTCTCCTCCTTATTCATACCCTAGTGTTTATTATGACGAAGTGTTTTCAGATCTTAATAAAGAAGGTTCGAAAGTTTTAGGTGTTGTTGGACCTGCTGAAAAGAAAACTGGAATACAAATAGTGTCTTCTACCCCTTATTCAAAGAGAGAGAAGCCTGTTACTTCTTACCAGCAAGTGTCCTCAGGTCTTAATGAAGAAGATTTGAAAGTTTTAGGTGTTGCTGGACCTTCTGACCAGAAGAGTGAGGTATACATAGTGCCCTCTCCCACCTACTCACAGGGAGAGCAGTCCTTTATTTCTTACCAGCCATATCAGGAGCAGCCAGATCTTCCTAAAGTAGCTTCAAAAACAGTAGAGGTTTCTGGACCTGCTGGTCAGAAGCCCAGGATACAAACAGTGTCCTCTGCTTCCTATTTACGTGGAGAGAAGCCCAGTGATTTTCATCAGCAAGAGTCACCAAATATTACTGAAGATGCTTTAGATATTTTTGTTCTTGCTGGACCAGATGGCCAGATGTTTAGGATACCAACAACATCTTTAAGTTTCTACTCAGATAAAGAAAAGCCCAGTGTTTCCTCTCTGCAAGAGTTGCCAGACAGCTATCTCACTGAAGAAGCTGTGAAAATTTCAGCAGAGCAGAAGGCTGGGAAGCTAGGAGCACCTTCTGGCTCCTCCTTCCATCGAGTGAAGCCCAGTGAAATTTATCAGCAGGCCTCGCCTGGTAGTGATCTAACTGAAGAGTCCCTGAAGACTTCAGCTGTTCCCAGAGTAACTGACCAGATAAATAAGAAACGTACGTTACCGCCTAGTTTCTACTCACATGAAGAAAAACCCAAGATTTCAACTGTAAATATACCAGACAACCAGAAGACTGAGTCACCAATAACTACCCACAGTTCCTACTTACAGAAAGAGAAGCCCAGGATTGCAACTGTGATTAGCTTAAATGACCAGACAACTCCATCACTGACAGTTTTTCATGGTTTGTATTCTCAGAGAGTAAAATCTCAACAGCAGTTGCCAGATAGAGATCCAAGTGGAGATACTCTAAGTATCTCAACTGTCCCTGAACCAACTTATATAAATACTGGGATACCAGTACCTCTCTCTAGTTCTTCCTTACACAGAGAGAAATCTAATACCTTCTATCCCCAGGAATTGCCAGACAGATACCTAACTGAAGATGCACTGAAAGTTTCAACAATCCCTGAGCCAACTGATCAGAAAATGGTATTGCCAGCATCTCCTCCTATTGCTTTTTCACACAGTGAAAAACAAAATATTTTCTATCAGAAGGATGTACCAGGTACACATCTAACTGAAGATGCTCTGAAGGTCTCAGCTGGCCTTAGGCAAGCTGATCAAATTACAGAGTTACCAATAGTTTCTCCTGGTAATTATTTACCTGATGAGAAGCACAAACTTGTTTCAGAACATGTCCAAAGGTTAACACATAATTTGAATTCCTCTGACTCCAGTGTTAGGCCAAACAATATGCCTTTAAATTCTCAAATTAATGATGGAGTTGTAACTCAGCCAGTATCTTCAGGTTTTGGAGATACTAGTTTTGAGGAAATCCAGGGTACAGAAAATACAAGTTCCAAAACGCTTAAAGAAATTCAGACACTTTTAATGGAGGCAGAAAATATAGCACTGAAACGTTGCAACTTTTCTGCTCCCCTTATTCCCTTTAGAGATGTTAATGATATTTCACTTATACAATCTAAGAAGGTGGTTTGCTTCAAGGAACCCCCTACAGTTGATATATCTAATAGTGATATGCTTCAGAGAGAGCCATTCACAGAGGAAAACTCAAATAGCAGGTACACACAGAAGGATACTGACACACAGACAAGTTTGAAATGCAAGAGAGGCATTGAAAATTGGGAGTTCATTAGTTCAACTACAATTAGAAATCCTTTACAGGAAGCAGAAAGCAAAGCCAGAGTGGCATTAGATAAAACTCTTAGGCAATATGAAGTAGCCAAGTCCGTACTGAGGTCTGAACCTGAAGGTTATAGTGGAACCATTGGGAATAAAATTATTATTCCTATGATGACGATCATAAAAAGTGAATCAAGTAGTGATGCAAGTGATGGGAATGCTTCCTGCTCTTGGGACAGTAATTTGCCAGAGTCTTTGGAATCAGTTTCAGATGTTCTTCTAAACTTCTTTCCATATGCTTCATCCAAGGCAAGCTTAACAGATAGCAGAGAGGAAGAGGGTGTGTCAGAGAGTGAGGATGGTGGGTGTAGTGTAGATTCACTAGGTGCACATGTAAGAAACCTTCTGCAGTGTGAATCCTCGTTGAATCATGCCAAGCAAATACTTAAAAATGCAGAGGAAGAGGAATACCGGGTACGAAAACGAGGTAAGCCCTGATCATTTGTCATATTGTCATGTTCAGGATTATAAATATTATAGTTTAATAATTTGTTTACAGTTAGATGTTTATAGTTCTTTATTTTCCTGTAGAACTTGTTAAGGATTATATTTTCTACCTGCAGTCCAGAAAAAAGCTATTTAAACAATAGTTTAGCTAAGGCAGAGTATTAATAGTGCGAATCTGAGATTACAGTCTTTGAAGAAGTATGTATATCTGATGTGTCAGTTAGATAGTAAGAAAGTAGTTTAGACCTCCAAGCTCCTCAAGCTTTCATGTTTCCCTGATCTTCCCACTATAGTATTATCCTTTTGGGGAGAAGGCAGAAAAAGCCTCCAGTTTGCTCTTCTCTAAATTGTTTTGTATTCTAAAACTACATATATTTTCTGTCCCTTTTTAATACAATTCTTGAAGCTGATCTCAGATGTTAGAAAAACAAGACATGTCAAGGTATTTTACTCTTTTAAGATTTGTGTTAGAAAAGAGAATATTTATTAATCTCATTAATAGTAGAATTCTATTAAAGAGAAAGTAAAATCTTTAATATATATGGGGAATATATTTTGGAGCACAATTTATGAGCAATTCAGGTTTACATGGGAGTCTTCCCTTGAGGTTTAAGTCCCCACACTGTTCCTTGTACATTTTGACTCTACAAAGAACTCTATAGTTGTGTTTAAAATAATCAGCGTTAGCCGGGCATGGTGGCGCATGCCTATAGTCCCAGCACTTGGGAGGCTGAGGCAGGAAGAATCTTTGCGACTTCAAGACCAGCCTGGGCTACAAAATGAGCTCAAGGCCAGCCCGAACTGCATAGTGAGACCCTGTCTCAAAAAGAAAAAATCAGCCTTGATGAAAGTGGTCATAACTGTAGCAAGAGCTAAAAGATGACACAAAAGGACTCTGTTGATTGGAGATTAAAATAAAAATGATTTAATATATTTAAAATTGTTTCTTTGGAGAAATACTTGTACAATATGGCTTAAAAAAATACTCCAGTAGAATGTTCTCTCTCAAGAATTTTAATAGGTTGTTATATTACTGAGCATATGGTAGGTATTAAGTTGCATATTGATGATTTTCTGTGCTTTTATAGTCATTGGAAAGTTTTGTCTTGTATCATCTCAATGTTGCTGTGGTTTCTCTCCAGCCTGGAATCTGAAGTTTAATTTAGCTGATGACCGTGGATACTCTATATCAGAATTAAATGAAGATGACAGAAGGAAAGTAGAAGAGATCAAGGCAAAGTTGTTTGGTCATTGTAGAACACCTGACTTGTCTGAGGTATAAAAGAAATCTAGTAATGAAAACAGAAACGGGTGGTGGAAATTGAATCTCTTACCTGGACATTGGTGATTATAGCAGAGTTGCTGATGATCTTTGGCTAAAGTGTTAGGTGTTTTAAACATCAAAAGTTAAGATTTAAGGATCAGAGTCTGTAAGTTTTGATTAATTCCAAATTCATCTACTGAGAAAAATTTATCTTTTTAGAAAAATAAGAATCGATTTACTTATTTTATCAGTGTGTTTTTAGAACAGAGAGACTAAACATTACACATTTTTTTTTTCCTTAAGATTGACCTTTTGAATTGCAGATGAAGTCCAGCTAGCTTTAGGTAGATATTCTCTATTTAACACCATAATTATAGGGTTGGAAATGTAGCTCAGGGTAGAGCACTTTCCTAGCATGTATGAGGTGATTGGGTTTGCTCTGTAGTACTGTATATTTATGTAAAATAGCTTATGTAAAATGATTTTCTTTTTAATAGAACTTACTTTTTTTCTGTTATGAGGTATTTCATACATAGAAACACGTACCTAAAGAATGAAGAGAAGTTAAAGTAATTCCTTTATATGTACTATTCAGCTTTTGAAATAGAATATTGCCAAATACCATTGTTCTTTGTATCTCTGTCTCCAGTCACTTTTTTTTCAGGGGAGTGGTGGAGCTGGGGACTGAACCCATGGTATCATGCATGCTAAGACTGCTGAAGGTCTGCTACTTACAGTAGCTTCATCCTTACCCTTTGACTTACCTTCTTTATTCTGCCAAGTGTGAATTCTCTTCAGTGTAACTTTGAGTTTTATATAGATGGAATCAGTATGACACATCTTTTTTGAAAATTCTTTTTCACAGTATTAGACTTCTGTTTGGATGTATAGTTTTAGTTTATTACTGTATATACAGTATATATTTTAGCATCTGTTGATACTTGTCTGAGTCTTTTTTTATATGATAACTACAATGTTAGGATTAAAAAATTTCATCATTCTTCGAACCTTCAAGTCTCCCCCATTTATGTATTTATAACATTATAGACTCCTAGTTTTTTCTTTTGCTCAAAGGATCACAATATGTTACTGTCATTGTTTGTTTTGATAATCAAATTATCTCACATTGTCTAAATTGTTTCGTATGTATTTTTCTCGTGTCTCCATCATTCTTAGAGCACTTACTTACTTTCTGGTTTAGGAAGATATTCCAGGCATATCTTGTATATTTTTTTCCTCAGATTTGGAGTTAGCTATTTCTCTAAGAGACTGGCTCCTTTTAGCCGAAGTGGTGTTTAAACACCAAAATCTATAAGCTTGATTGCCTGTTGAATCATGATGCTCTTTCTTTTATGTTCTTTCAGCAGTATGTATAGATATAATTAAACACACACCCCCACCCACCCACCCACCCCTTCCCTGTTGGATTTCTGTTTCCTTATCCATTGGCATTAAAATTTGTGACAGCTCTGCGTTTATACTATATCCAATTCCATTCCAATAGTCTAGAGTTATTCTGTCCTTTTCTTCTTTCTGTGTTTGTAACTCCTTCCCTCATAGTGAGAAACCTAGTGCCCATAATCCTCAATACTACTTTATGTAAAAGTAGCCAAAATAAAAGAACAATACTATTGGCAAAACTGTGATGGAACTATCATATTGCTTATGGGAAAGTAAACTGGTATAATATTATTAAAAACAAATCGATAATTATTTCATAAAGATAAATATGCCTGCCCTTGGACATGTCAGTTCTACATTTTTAAGTGTTTACTCAAGGTATTAGTACATATGTTCCAACAAAAGAGATGAACAGAAATGATTGTTGTAGCCAAAATCTGAAAACAGCATAAATGTCTATGAAGACTAAAGTACAGGAATCAGATAGGTTCATAAAGTAGAAGTCTAGATAGAAAAAAAAATTAAACTAATATCTACAGCACTGAAAGATCTCACACAAGTTATGGTTAGCAAAAATGCCAGACACAAACTACTAATACTGAATAGTTCCATTTTCTTCAAAAATTATTCAGCCTCAGGTATTTTACTGTAGCCAACAGAAAACAGATTAAAGCACTTCCTTATGTGAGAAGAGATTTTATGCCTCTTTCATTCATTAGCACATAAAGAACAGACACTACTTGGCCCCACCAAAAATAACCATTATTATTTTTTCTACCTTTAATTAGTTTGTTTTTGAATTTTACATAAATCGTTATGCAACCATCACCACCACTACTTACCTCCAAGACTTTTCATCTTTCAAACCTTGTTAATCAAAGACTTAAGTTTTAATTAAGAAAAGTACCTTCATAGCTGAATAATTCTATTGAGTTTTTGATATATTCATAACAAAAAGTTAGAAGGAAAAAAACCAAAAAAAAAAGTTCATATGGGAGACGGAAATTGTCTGTGTATAATTCCCATGCTACCTAAACAGTTCTAGTACATCAATAAAAATTTCTCAGTTTACCTGAGAATAATGACAAAGTCTCACAAAGATACTCCTGAAAAAAGAAAATTATGGAAGAATTTTTAGCTTTAGTTGTAGTGTTTCCACATTTACTTCTGCTTTTGTCCTTTATGTTTTTCTTAGTTTAGCTAAATGTTTGTCACTTTCATTTTTATCTTTTCAAAGAACAACTCTTAGTTTTGTTGATTTTATTCTGTTGTTTTTCTGTTACCTATTTCTTTTATTTTTGCTGTGATGCTTATTATTTCCTTGTAACTTGGGACTTATTTTATTCTTTCTCTCGTTCCTTGAGGTGTGAAGTTGGGATGCTTATTTGAATTCTTTTTTAATGTAAGCATTTATCACTCAGACTTCTCTCATAGTTTTTCCTTTGTTGTGTTCCATAAATTTTGGTATACTGTGTTTTTGTTTTCATTTCTCAGGTTTTTTCTGACATCCCTTGCTTTCGTCTTCCGTTCCTCCACTGGTTGTTCAAATGTGTAGTTTTACTTCCACATATTTGTGATTCTTTTCAGGTTTCCTTCTGTTACTGGCCTCTGGTGTCAATCCATTACGCCTGGAGTGGAGGAACTTGGTGTGATTTCAGTGTTGCTAAATTTATTCAGACTTGTGATATGACCTAACAGATAATTATTTCTGAAGAATGTTTATGTGCTTTGGAGAGGAATTTGTATTCTGCAGCTGTTGGATGGAATGTTTTGTATGTGTATATTCTATTGATTATTGAAAGTGGAGTTTGGAAGCCTCCTACTATTGTATTGTTGCCTATTTCTCCTTTCATTTCTGTCAGTGCTTGAGTTTTATATTTTAGGTGCACTAGCTGTTAAGTGCATGCATATTTATAATTGTTATATCTTCTCTTTCATCATTCTGTGATATTTTTGTCTCTTCTCAGAGTTTTTGACTAAATGTGTATAACACTTGTATGCTTTTGTTTTGATTTTTTTTTTTTTTTTTTTTTTTTTTTTT